TTTTTTTTTTTTTTTTTTTTTTCCCTCAGCACCCCAATCCATAAGCTCCCTAAGTTTAATGTCTGGGCGTAGAGGGACCTTCAGATAACTTTATCAGTCAGGCAGCGGGTCAGTGAGCGGGCTAACAGTGGTCCTGAGCGGAGTCTCCGTAACTATGGCAACGATGACGCTGAGTGACAGACCTGCCATTATGTGACATTCTACTCTTGATTTAATATGACTCCAATATGTCTTGTTAAACTCTTTCCACAGAAATACGGGACAAACTGCATCAAAAACTGCGTTTTTTTGTTTTGTTTTTTTTTTCAATATGGGACGAGGGGCAACTCTGTCGTCTCATGCCTCGGTGTGGCGCTGGCGTCAGTCACATCACTGATCCTCAGTTCTACCATACCAAAAAGAGTGTAACTTTTATGGACGCTACTGTGCAACTCGTTCAATCAATTAACTTCCCTACTGAAAAGATAGTTGACTCAGAAAGAAGAGACGTCACCACCACGCTACTGAGAATGCTGTTACATTCGTCGCATATATATATATATATGTATATATACACACACAACATGTGTGGTCCTGTGCAGAGGGAGGTGAGTCAGGTTCATCTATGTCTCACCAACAGGTGTCTGTGAATATAAAGTCAGTTCAGTCAGATGTAGGGATGGGTCACGATTTTTGAATTTTCGAATAGTCATTTATTTTGAAAAATCGATTTTTTTAATGCGACTATTACTATTCGCCGTCTTATTTCCCCCCCTTTATTTGACATGCAATTCAGCTCCTAACCGCACGAGGGCAGTATAGGATTGCTACAGCGGTGTGAGATGGGCCACCAGCTAGTTTGATGCTCTTCTACAAACAGGAGAAACATGCAGAGACTACTACAGTCATCAAAAAGTTCCGTGTGGAACAACTTCGACAAAATAAACGAAAATGAGGTGCAGTGCAAACTCTGTGAGGCAAAGCTTGCATATCACAAGTCTACAACAAGTATGCACAGTCATTTGAGAGCGAGGCACGCAGGAGGCGGCGAGGGACCGTACGGCTGGGCTCAGCGGCGCGACACGTCTGCAGCGCGAGTCCTGTAGCAGCTCGCCCCCGTTAATCAATTACAGCGGCTCCACTGGCAACGGGAGCTGCGTGACAACCCCTGTCTGTCGCGCGACAACTCTCTATTTTACACAGCTCTTCTATTTTTGTTGTGCTACGCTCCCCTACGCGACCCTCCAGCAGATAAAAACTACATGAAATAGTGTGCTAAACGAGCACAATGTGTTTTTAAATGAATAAACCATTATCAGAGGTGATATGTGATGACTTTTTTTTCATGCATTTACCCATGTTTATCCGTGACATTGTGTAAATGTCCGTGGCGTGACATTTGAAAGCGAGTAGATGACAAACAGTACAGTAAACTTGCAGATAAGTCAAATATATGTAATAACTTAGGTGGAAAATGCTTTAACATTTCATGCAGCCTACATGCAGCCTCTCGGCTCAGCAAACGGTAAACAACCCCGCTGGCTTCTCTACGTGTCGCTTCCGTACGCAGTCAGTAGAGCCCAAATGAATACGTCGTGACGCTTACGTTTGCAGCCGGTGGAGCCCGGCCGTAATGATGAATGGATCTCTGTGTGCGTGGCTCCGGGAGGGGAGGGCGATTATTCGAAAAATCGTATATCGTAAATAGTGTTTTTGCTTGTGCTGCCCATCCCTAGTCAGATGTTTTATCGTCTGATATTTGGACTCTGAGTGTCACAAAGATCACGACTCTTTCTGACAAAAAGATGATGATAAAAATGTAGATAAAATATTTGTGGAAATTAAAACATCACAAGTTAAAACTTTCAAGACTATTAAATGACTTTTGAGGCCAAATATTTATGACATTTAATTTAAGACCTTTTCAGCAGCTACAGACACTGTCTCCAGTTTCAGTTATAGTCATAAGATGTTTGTTCAACCAACAATGATCATTCTGACTGATAATTATAACTGAGACAGTTATCGCACAGTGAAGATCTGAGACTGTTGGAGCTCTCGCTGTTATAAATGTCTTTAGTGACTCTGTGCAGCACAACCTCTGATCAAACTGATCAAACTGTCAAACTGATCAGATATGAGTCATTGTGTGTTTCTCACACACAGATTTTAGTGTTCAGCTGTAACATGAGAACGTCTGTGACCCGATTGTGCGTCAGTAACAGGAAGTCAGTGGATGAAACCTCGGCTGTATCAGTATCAGGAGTCAGACCAAAGAAATGGACCTGCACTCGTACAGCTCCTTCTAGTCATCTGACCACTCAAAGTGCTTATACACTACGAGTCACATTCACACACACACATTCACACCCTGGTGGCCGAGGCTACTCAGATTTTAACACACTCACACACTGATGATCAGCCATCAGGAGCAGTTTGGGCTTCAGTATCTGCTGGAGGATACTTGGACCTGCAGACTGGAGGAGTTGGGGATCGAACCAGACACAGGATCAGAGTTCATACTGAGATCTGCAGAAACTTAGGGGTGGTCTGATGACAGAGAGATTTGGTCGTGTACAGATCAGAGGTTAACAACCTGCAGCTCTTTAACCCTTCACCAGGGCTCCCTGTGGCTGTGACAGAAATTATTATATGGAAATTAACAGCAGTTATTACTATTAGCCTACAGCCTGAATACATACAGTGTTTTAACATCTGGTCAGCTCTGTGCGTCACACGTCTACAGCCTGGTGCCTTCTCTTAAAATCAGCTGAATCTCAACATCCCCACACTAATGACTGCTCATTTAGATTAAACAGGCTGTGCTGTGTCACTGTAAGGTTCACATATGCACTGTGGCTCTTTGATGTTAAAGGTTGCCTACCCCCCGTACAGATGGTCACTGTGCCGTGTCTCTGCTGTGATGTCTCTGAGGTCTGTTTCTCCTCAGTACAGCTGATCACGGGGCCATATGTAGCTTTGTTTTTAACAGTGCATCATGTTTTATCTTTGTGTGTTTCTTCCTGCATATGAATCGCTCTGTATTTCCTCTGTCTCAGTTCTTTTAAATCAAAATGTTCAGATAAAGTTCATCTGCAGGCCCTCCAGGTGTCTCCGCAGTCTCACCTGTGTCTGATTATGATTCAGACTCATCTCTTCCTGTTAAATTAATGTTTGATGGACGTGTCTAATAACTGGCTGAGTGATCAGTGACCTGACCCAGTGTCACATTCGCGTCATCAACAGCCACAGTGACAGATGTTCAAAAACATTCCAGACCTGGAGGACAGGTCAGAACTTTTCCTTGACTGTGGGAACGCTGCCATGTTACATGTCACATCACACACTGGGACGTCATCACGTCGCCATCATTTGGTTGGCATGACGACACAGTCCCAGAGAGACAGTCTGATCCCTGCACGTCTATCTGTCTGATTCTATCAGCTGTCTGTCTGCCTGTCTGCCACACCCACAGACAGACAGAGTGAAATAAGCACATCCATATGTCTCACTGTGACTACATGTACTGCAAGAAGTCTGTCTGCCTGTCTGTCTGTCTGTCTCTCTGGGTGTGACAGACAGACAGACAGGTTGTGGCTGTGATTCATTCCTCAACTCTCAGGGGGATTTTGACACCTCGGCGCATGCGCAGTTGACCCTCCCATCAGTACCGACACACACACACACACACTAAACTAAACAACTAACTAACTTAACTAACTAACTAACTAACTAACCAACCACCGTTGACTACCCGCCCAGCACGTGACCCAGGTCCCCAGACTGAATGACCGGACTGACCGTGTTACAGACAGATAACTGACCCGGGTCACATCCTGTCTTTCAAACACAGAGACACGGTTACCGTTATATGTTAACGGCTCCGGTGTCTCTGCTGTGATAACGGTGTCTCGCTCTCAGCCTCTCATACCGACAGTAACCTGCTGATAAACGGTCAGACCCGGGTCCAAATCACGGCTCAGACCCGGGTCTAAATCACAAAGAAACAGAGCTGACTCACGTCCTCTGTGTCCTCCGAGACACAGACAGGCGGCTGCTGATCCGACACACGGGCTGGACTGTATCGGGACAGACGGGACACTAAAGTGTCTTCACTGTCTTCACTGTCCCTGTGTCTCCGTCCTGTCCCCTCCGTCTGTCTCTGTCCCTCTGTCTCTGTCTCTGTCCCTCTGTCTCGGTCTTCGTGGCGCTAAACTTCAAACTCCTTCAGTCGCCATTTTTCACTTTTCCCGCGGATCTCAGGGGGAGGGTCTACGTCATTTACATAAGCTTCGTCATCACGTCAGCAGGAAGTGCTGCACTGTGACCGATCACCCATCAGCCCCATTCAGAGCCACATCCACTTCTTACTGAGTTTAGACCTTCATCTGTTGGTTTCATCTATGTGAGCCATCCATCCATCAGTCCATCCATCAGTCCATCCATAAAATGACGTTGTCCTCTGTGTTCAGTAACATTTAACAAAGGTAGTTGCATGATCAGTGGTGGAGGAAGTATTCAGAGGCCGGTTGTACAAAATACCTTAAGTTAAGATTTTCATTAAAGTCAGAGTTAAGGTTCCCTTAAAGTAGAAAACACAACACCCCTAAGTATTTTCCCTTTTTTTTCTTTTTTTTTCAAATATTTACTTAAGTATTTAAGATTTTTCTCCTCACCTTGGGCTTATACTTAAGAAATCCCTTATAATTAGTTAAACCGTTGCAGGGAAGACCTCAGGTATCACAGGCCCAAGGGCAGACAAACAAACTGTAAAATCTGTCTCAATGCAGTAAATGCCTTAATGTTTTTCCTTAACTAAAGAAATGTTTTAAGGGATTCCCTTCAACACCTTTAAGTAAGACCGTGAATTAAGGGGAAATTAAGCCATAAGTGTCATATTTAGGAAGAAAAGTTAAGGTGTTTTGTGCCTGGCTTCCCCATTAGTTTTCGTTATGTTCTTTACTTTAGTAGAAGTACTGGCACCACACTGTGAGATTACTCTGTTATAATTAAGTCCAAATGTTCCTTAAGTACACATCAGCAGGTGTAATCAGCGTGTATGCAAAGTGTTAAAAGTAAGAGTACCCAATACAGACAATTTAAAAAACATAAAAATCTTAAATTATTCAAAATAAGTCGTTCAAAAGAACGACTGAAATGATTTTCAAAAATAATTATTTTCTGTCAGTCAGCTCATTGATTAATTGACTGATTGTCTACTAACTCAATGTCTCTACGTCAGTGTCCACACCTGTTGGTCTGTCTCAGACTGTGTGAAGGATTTCTACCATCATCTGTCTAAGTCTGATACATATCCAATCAATAATCCATAATCAGACAGCAGCAGAAGGTCAGAAACTGTTTATTGATCCATCAGCTCTGACATCATCAATATGAAAAGTTATTGATCAGAACACACAGCCAGATATTGGAGATAAGAACACATGATCACATCTTAGAAAACACACAGACTGACGGCCGGTGGTCCTGACGCCGCCACTGAGGTCAGAGGTCAGGGGTCAGAGGTCAGGGGTCAGAGGGTGTGTTCAGGTAAGGTACAGAGGCGTTACAGGGTCAGAGGTTGGGGTGGGTGAGTGAAGTGTTATTATGGTTTAAGGGTCAGGTTTAACTCAGGTTTAAGAGTCAGGGGTCAGGTTTAACTCAGGTTTAAGAGTCAGAGGTCAGGTTTAACTCAGGTTTAAGAGTCAGGGGTCAGGTTTAACTCAGGTTTAAGAGTCAGAGGTCAGGTTTAGTTCAGGTTTAAGAGTCAGGGGTCAGGTTTAGTTCAGGTTTAAGAGTCAGGGGTCAGGTTTAGCTCAGGTTTAAGAGTCAGAGGTCAGGGGTAGGGGTCAGGTTTAGGATCTGATGATCAGGAGTTTGGTTTGGTGTTGGGTCGTATCTTCATCTCGGTGAACCTGAGTGAGTACTGCCAGCCCGTCCAGCTGGACCACTCCACCCCATCAGCGTAGGAGGCATGGCCTCCCCTCAGGTACTGCCCGTTCAGGTTAGAGGTGTGGCAGTTACGGTACCACCACGCCCCCTGGTAGTACGCTGCACAGTTGTTCTCTGACTGGTCCTGGTCCCGGTCTTTGGTGGTGAACTGCATCCCAGAATGCTTCAGGAGGGAGTCACCTAGAGGTCAGAGGAACACTTGTTAGTGCTCTATAGTACTGTTTACTTGTACTACAATGTGTGTCATACATATACAACCTGGTGCCTTTTCCTCTAAATGTTGCTGAACTTTAGTAGCAGTGGATTCATACCTGCAGTCCCTGAGTACTGGTCCACGGTCAGTGGGTATCCATCCTCCTCGGGGTTCACAGAATCCCGACCAACAGAGAAATCACCATAATGAGCGAACGCTGTGGCATTATCGAAGTCGGCCATGTCAATCCGCAACTCATAACCACCTGATCTGGTCAGAGAGTAGATCCTCTGGAGACCTGCGGGACAGACAGACGGACGGACAGAGAGACAGACAGACAGAGAGACAGAGAGACAGAGAGACAGACAGGGAGAGAGTTGTGTCATTTTCAAAGGTTCAGACTCAGAGCTTCTTGAGTCCTTGTTAGGGTCTGTTGACACTGGGGTGGCAAATAATAATGACAGACAGCAGAACCTCTCTGGTTCTACTCTCCATCAGAACACTGCAGATGTCCGTCTGTCTGTCTAGTGTATTTACACATTAACCCTCCGCCAGGACGGACCTCAAGATCAACAGGTGAATGGTTGTAGCTCTGGCTGTGGTTCAGGTATAGTGTCAGACTGTGGTGGTGCACCTTGATGTGAAGGTCCTGTCTGACAATCACTCATTGCTGCTTGTCTGACATTGGATGAACACCACCTGAAGCTAAACCTGGACAAGACTGAGATCGTTCCTTCAGGGAAAAAGACAACCTAACTATCCATCACCGTGACAACACTGTGGTGATGTCACTTTGGACGGTGAGGAACCTGGGAGCCACAAAAAAACTCTGTTGCACCAGGTGGCCTAGAGCTAAACCATGAAAACCTCAGATGGAAGATGGAGGATGGGACAAATACTGAACCTCAGGTGGGACCTTGTACGATCGCCTTGACCACCAGTTTATGAATGTGACCCTTGTGTGTTCAGAGTAATAGAAAGGTTCAGGTACTCATCCAGGTGTTCGTCATCTGGTGCTGGTCTACAGGGCGGTGATAGAGACTGTGTCCTTCTACACAGAGTCAAGGTCAAGCACCACACGCCTCCTCCATCACTATACGACCCCCAAGGTTCCTTTCTGGGTTCTTGTCCCCCTTTTCCACCCACACAGAACTGGTTCTGTTTTGGTTCATGCACCTAATTTTAACCCTCTTGGAGCATTTTGACCAAAAATAAAATGGTTACACACCTGAAAAGTTGGTTCTCAGCAGGAACCAAAGAACAGCAGGTTTTTCTTGACCTGAGGAGGCAACACGGTCTCACTGTGAGGTCGTCCAAAACTGGAGCCTGAGTGAGACCGGTTCGTCTCAACAGGCTCATCTGCACCACAAGAATTTGTTTGGCTTGAATGTAACAGACACTGTGATGAACTCTGTGTGTGTGTGTGTGTGTGTGTGTGTGTGTGTTTCAGACCTAGCCAGTGCTCTCCTGTAGTTTTTCCGAAGCCATCTCGGTATGCTGCCCAGTCTCTGAAAAAATTCACAGAGCCGTCCTCCCTCCTCTGGATCACCTGCGCGCACACACACACACACACACACACGCACACACACACGTATTAAAAGCAGTCACATCAACACAACTGTTTAATTAATTAAATATTTCATTAAAGATAAACTGAGATAAACAGTGATCAGCAGGTGGAGGAGGTGGAGCATGTAACCATGGAGACGTCTCAGTAAGATGCACACACTGCAGGACATGTGACCACCACCAGAGGACGCTGCTGCTGTGCACGTGTGTGTGTCTGTGTCTGTCTCTCTGTGTGTCACACACCGTCCAGCCTCCGCCGTCAGTCGTCATGTCGCAGTAAACCATGAAGCCGTCGGGGTCATGAGTCGGAAACACAGAATAAACTCCGTCCTCAGAGATGCCGGACGCCATGACATCATTGCAGTCTTTGGGTCTGACAGCTGAGACACATAGACGGACAGAGAGAGAGACAGACAGAGACAGACAGAGACAGAGACAGAGACACAGGAAGTGAGTCTGTATGAGAGCGATTACTTCAGTCAAGTGTATTAGTGTGTGTATAACTGTGCATATTATTTCACATTGGCATGTGTTACCTGTGTGTATTAATATGTGTACTGGCGTGTGTTACCTGTGTGTATTAATGTGTGTACTGGCGTGTGTTACCTGTGTGTATTAATGTGTGTACTGGCGTGTGTTACCTGTGTGTATTAATGTGTGTACTGGTGTGTGTTACCTGTGTGGGCGGAGTCTTTGTGCAGCTCTGTGTTGAGTCTCCTCAGACTCTCCGTCTCCCTCTGCAGGCTTAGCAGAGAATCACTGAAACCTGAGACCAGCTTCAGCACACCCGAGTGACTGTCAGAGAGCACCTGGACAGGTGAGACACACACACACACACACGCACGCATACACGCACGCATGCATGCGTGCGCGCACACACACGCACACACACACACTTTTACTTCACTTCATTCTGATTCAATGTATTTACTACATCTTCATATTGTTTTACAGCCACTATCAGATTAGACCTGATTTGTATCTGTGACCTGGCCACCATGTTGGACACTAAGCCCCGCCCACCGGCCAGGTCACAGACAGAAACAGAATCCTGATTCTCATCTGACCCAGGTCACCAGAACCGATCGACACGATTGATTCCTCTTCTCTGATTGGCACGACACGGCTCTGCTAATGATGTCATACAAACCTGTACGACGCGGCTCCGCTAATGATGTCATATGAACCTGTATGACGCAAGTCTGTTGATGATGTCATAAGAACCTGTACAACGGACTCTGCTGATGATGTCATAGGAACCTGTACAACGGACTCTGCTGATGATGTCATACAAACCTGTACGACACAACTCTGCTGATGATGTCATAAGAACCTGTACAACGGACTCTGCTCATGATGTCATAGGAACCTGTACAATGGACTCTGCTCATGATGTCATAAGAACCTGTATGACGCAACTCTACTAATGATGTCATACAAACCTGTACAACGCGACTCTACTAATGATGTCATACGAACCTGTACGACGCGGCTCTACTAATGATGTCATAGGAACCTGTACGACGTGACTCTACTCATGA